TCCGCGTGTGCGCGTCCGTGGGTGTGTGTGTGTATGTGTGTTTGTGTGACTGTAAAAACGCGTATTATAGCCGTATAATCATATTTTGTGCTTTGGGGGTGAAAAAGTTGAGGCTGAAAACCGGCCATTTGCCTGGCTAATTTTTCACCGTGCAACTGATGCCGTGGGCGATACTATCCGCGAAAGGGGGGGGGAATACTGAGGGGAACGGAGTGAGAGGGGAGGATGAAGGAAAGAGGAGAGAAAGGGGAGCTAGACTGAGAGGAAAGAATGCAGACGGATATGTGCACACGCATGTGCAGTACACACGCGCAGACAAACGCACGTACGGCACAAACGGCACACACACAGGCACGAATGCACTAACTGTTCCTTCTAATATAGTTACTTCTCTCGCCTTCCCGCTCATCCTCTCCCTCTCCGTCACTCTTCAATTTGACGTGCAACCATACCCGCGTGTGCGCGTCCGTTAATGTGTGTGTGTATGTGTGTTTGTGTGACTGTAAAAACGCGTATTATAGCCGTATAATCATCTTTTGTGCTTTGAGGGGTGAAAACGTTGAGGCTGAAAATCAGCCATTTGCCTGAATCAAATTCAGCGTGCTAACGAGGTCGTAGGCGATACCAATTGCGAGAGGGATCACTTATTCCCGAGAGAATATAACCTGATAGGATATAGAATAATCATTAAAGTACCATATAAATAGATAGACATGTCAGATATAGATATGTAGGAATAGATAGAATATCAGATTTTTCGTGATGGTTGATTCTATATGGCACATTATTACTGCTAGGTACTCAGTACATGGTTCCCACAAGTGTGAATTATTTTTTCAAAGACTTCAAGGACATTTCAAGGACATATGTTTTTTCAATGACAATCTGTGACAAGTAGTTTTAGCATTTTAGAGTCATCATATATACCTTAGATTCATATATGAAGTAAAAAAGTTGTTTTACCCCCTAATTTAATGAGAGCAATCCTTTCTCTATAAATTTCTTGCTTATTGTACTTGCTGAGCTGGTGAAATTGAAGATCTTCTTCAGCTTCGAACCCATGGAAGGCCATATTCTCCTTGTTCCAAATCTTTACAAATAATAACAAATAACAAATAATATTAAAATTAACCCAAAATTCACAGAACAGTATCTGCTAATCCTAGTTTGTTTTCCTTCTTTTTAGTCATGGGTGGCATGGGCAGGGATCGTAACTATATATGCTGACTATTATTATAATTTTTTATTACTTAGTGTGTATTTTCCTACACACAAATTACACACAAATTGACACAATTGTGTAGTAAAATATGAACACTGATTAATAAATAAATATTAAAATGATGAACTTAGTGTCTAGACCCCTACACCACCTGCACGTAAAAATTAGTAGATTAGTAGACAATGACATGTATATTTTGGATTAAATTTAACAGTTTTATCAAAGACTTGGAATAGTGTCAGTCAGATAACCAGCAATGAAGATTTGCTTATCAAAAAAGTAGAATTCCATGACATTAGACATAAAATAAGGACTTGGATCTATTTCCAAGGACTTTCAATGACAAAAGGACAAATTAAGGACAAAGGACAAAATACAAGGACTTTCAAGGGTGGTGGGGACCCTGGGGCAGAACGGTTTCTTTGCACTGCAACCAACTTACTGGCCATCACAGGTCGGATGATTTCATACACACGATCTGACTGAGCAACAGCCATTTGGCATCGGCAAGAAAACACAGATGAACAAATGCATAACCCAGGCATAATTCCAAGAAACCTCATCTCAATCTCAATCACAATCACAATCCTAGCATCAGAACACAGTTTCCCGCAACCTCACAATATTTCTCTTACATCAATGACAGATGTAGAATACGCGGCGAGTGAGATACGCCTGTGTAATGCCGCGGAGTCTCATCTTTAGTGTAAGAGAACCCGAGTCTCATCTTCTATGAGGACTAACCCACCAGTTGAGACATTGCTTTTATTCCTGCAGAGTATGATCGTATGCTGTTACGTATCCGTTACGCTACAGTACGTACAGAATCTGGTAGAATTCCCAGAATCGAGGGACCTCTAATTCGGAAAGAGAGAAAACTGTCCTTTGGGAAGTCTCTAAACCTAAATCTTCTTACAACACAGTTAATCGACTTTTATACGGGAACCTTTATCTTGCGATGATTCGATTATGATACACGACACCAGATGACTGATCACTGCTAAGTCAAGGGTCTTCTCATCCATCCCTACAAATGGGAGGAAGTATCACCAGAAGTTTTTCGTCAGACGGCAGCACCCTATCACGGCCGCCGCGTGGAATGTCACGTCGGGCCACCTGTAGGAAATATCTCACTCAGGAGTTTGATTGTGTTTGGAAATATGTAATTGCCTGTATCGTGGCGGCGGTGTGTCCGCGGCGTATACTCTCCAGCAAAGGGATGCTCTGCTGTTTGTGGCAAACAGATGGCGCTACTGTCTTTGTCTTTCTCTGTCCTGCCACTAGGAGAGGGAGCTTCCTTTATCTGTCTAGCCACTAGAAGAGCAGGAAGAAAGACGTTCTCCTTCGCCGATTCCACTAGGAGAAAGAGGACGAGCCGACAGCATTGCCGTTGTTTTTTCAACAGATGGCGCCGTCGACGATCGTTGGCCGATTTCGGCGCTGTCCTTTGTTCCCAACAGATGGCGCTACTCTCCTGTCTCGTGTCGCCGCGAGGAGGAGCTGGCAGCAGAGCTTCCATCGCTGACCAACAGATGGCACTGCTCTCCTCTCTCTCGCGTCGCTAGGAGACGGAGGATGAGCTGGCGGCGGCGGTGGGGCTTCCTTTTCCGTCTTCCTCCTTCTCGGGGAGAAGCCCCGCGATCGCGTGCTGCAGGTGGTGGAGCCGGCTTCCCTTGAGCGCGGCGACGGCATGCAGACGCCGCACGCACTCCGGCGACTCATCCAGCAGGTGGCGCAGCAGTAGCAGTCGCTGCGATCGCTTCGCCTCGTTCAGTACGGCGTGGATCGGCGAGAACTGCTCCTGTAACGATGCGGCGAGGAGACAGGTAGTTAACGAGGCGAGAGTACATGTAGATAACGAGGCGAGAGTACAGGTAGATAACGAGGCAAGAGTTCAGGTAGTTAATGAGACGAGAGTACAGGTAGATAACGAGGCAAGAGTACAGGTAGATAACGAGGCGAGAGTACAGGTAGTTAACGAAGCGAGAGTACAGGTAGATAATGAGGCAAGAGTACAGGTAGTTAACGAGGCGAAAGTACAGGTAGATAACGAGGCGAGAGTACAGATAGATAACGAGATGAGAGTACAGGTAGATAATGAGGTGAGAGTACAGGTAGATAATGAGGTGAGAGTACAGGTAGATAATGAGGTGAGAGTACAGGTAGATAATGAGGCGAGAGTACAGATAATGAGG